AGAGAGAGAGAGAGAGAGAGAGAGCGCGCGAGAGAGAGGGGAGAGAGAGAGAGAGAGAGAGAGAGAGAGAAAGAGCGAGCGAGAGAGAGAGAGAATAGGAGAGTGTGTTTGTGTGTGTGAAAGAGAAAGAAAGGAGGACAGACAGGCAGACAGACAGGCACTCAAGAAGGGGAGAGAGGGGAGAGAGGAACAAAGGAGGGAAGGAGAGGGGTAGTGGAAGATAGTAGCGAAGTTAGTTAGCGAAAAAAAGTGATAGAGAGGGGGGAACAGGGATTGAGAGAAGGGGAAGGAGAGAGTACAGACAGAAAGGGAGAGCAGAGAGAACACCCCTCGTGTAATGATCATAGCGTGTTGCGCACAGCGTCGGCATGGCGATGATTCATGCTTCCAACCGGCTGCGCGCCCATGTGGCATGCAGAATAAAAAATATGCGGCACTGAGAACTCCCAGCAACACAGAAAGGCACTGAAAATGCATAGAGCTTCGCTCGAAATGCTAGCGTATAGGGTTAGATAGCTATTAGATAGCTATTAGCTCGATGATTTAATACGGAATAACCTCGAGCAAATACCCCTCCCATATTCTCCTACGTTTCTACTCCTGCCGTCACACGAAATGGTCCATGTAGACATTAAACGATGCAGACTAGGCAGACTGATGACGTTTAGAGTGTGTGCATACTGCTAGACACACGTCTATGTCCCCCAGGGTAATACCGGAACGTACCCTGGGTACGATCCGGTATACCGGAACGTACCCTGTTAACTATATAGCTGATATAGTTAGGGTTAGGGTTAGGGTTAGTGTTAGGGTTAGGGTTAGGGAGTAGGCGTAGGCGACTCCCTAGACTCGTTAATGGAGTAGGCGAGGTACGGTCCGGCATATTAGATAGTAGTATTTAGTACCAGGGTACGTTCCGGCAGTACCCTGGGGGACATAGAACCTCTCAGCGCTAGACACGTACACGAAACCCTACGACCTGCACGTTAGCATCACATTCTAGCAATATTTGATCGAAACCCCCCGACGCATCCCACAGCAGTCAGGCTGCAGGTATCTCACTGCAGAACAGCTCTGATTTATACTAAAGAGAAGACCAGTCAAATCACAAATGTATTTGATAGTAACATTTAGCAACGTATAAAGTCCGATGGCACCTCTAGCAAGGTTGGAGCACGAGGTAGAGACAGGGCGAAGGAAGACATGGTGACCACATGAGACAAGCAGAAGTAGACTGGAAGACTTACGTGCTCAACTCTGCCTGGTGTCCGTGAGAACCTGTCGCCACGGTAACGGTGTGGATTCCATCGTGACAAACAGGTTCACAAATTGAAGGCTTTGCACGACAGCAAGCAAAGATCGAGCAGTAATGCCCTAGTTGCAACATGGTTAGTCACACTGATCGTAGACTAAAGCCTCCCAAACTTGTTGGGACGCATGTACACGGCAATACCAGTGTGTTATGCCAGACCAGAGGCCGAGTAAGAACAACACCCAAGTGATAGAGTGAGTGTATGAGTATGTGTGTGGATGGACTGACCATGCTCCATAGTGACTCATACCTAATTTACCACACATCTCGCCTGCACTTTACTGAGTCATGTGTGTCACTAAATGTTAGAGTCAGCAAGCTAGCCATGATATCACATGGCAAACTGATGGAATACAAATGAGCAATCGTTAGACAGTATAATTACATTGCGAGTAGCTATATGCACAGTGGGAACCTCAGAATAAATAACGCAGGAATTAATGCATTTTTAACTGTAGTACCATGTGAATTTGCATATATGTAATTAATGAAAATCATATTACCCATGCTTATGAATGCTTTACTATGACCATCAAAATAAAATCCTTGTTTCCAGCTTTAATTAACTGCCACTGTGCCGACAACTAACTGCCTAAAGTCTGATCTTATTATATAAAATTTCAACTGAATCTAGTATTATGGCTATATGCACACATAGCCATAAAACAAAATATATGATTACTAAACATTCTGTACTTCAATGGTTAAGTAAATATGAAACCATGGTCACTGAGTTATTTATGCCATTCACATTACATAATGAATTTTGGTTTATTCTAATATCTTCTAAAGTTCTAATCGCTAACTATATATCCTAGCACAAATGTAAGTTATAACTATCACAGTATCAGGTAAATATTTTGTAGTAATCATAGCAAACGTTTAACAATTTACTATTACTGAAGCCGTGAAGGTGATAGTACTGACATTCACAACGTCAACGATAATGATAACTATGACGCTGCTGAAATTGATAAGGGCGATAATCCTAAATTTTATCACTCATGTTCACGTGATTAGAACTATATAATATAAAATTAAAACGCATTGATTTCCAATGCTGATCACTGACAATTCTCCACTTCTTTTTTAATAACTAATAAACTAATAGAAATAGATTAACATCGAATAAAACATGGCCATTCGTTTATAGTTAAGGATACTCTCAAGGTTTTAGGCAAAATTTTACAGATTTTTCATTTTCAACTTTATTCGATGGCTAACACTATGTGCCGCCTCTGTACATGCTCATTTCTCCATATAACGGTACATGTGAACTTCCAGAGAGCATTTTGATTGCCCGCGTACATGTAGCAGGGGTAGAAATTAACTTTTGAACATGGGAGTCCAACGGACTCCCTACCCTCAAAAAGAGGGAGTCCGCAGTGTGCGGTTCAAAATTAAAGATATTAACAATAACACATGTGCTTATTTTTAAGATTAATGCGGTTGTAGTGTACGTCTGCCAAATTTTCTCTGGACATTAGCAGAAAAAATACGGTAATTCCGCGAGACCGTACTCCGGAACGAACTAGTTAGTGTGGCAGAATTTTCAGAGAGTCACACGGATTCCTGCATATATATCAAATCAGGAAGTATTTGACTCCGGACTCCCGTTAATTTCGCACCCTGATGTAGTGAGCCGCGGCTGATGTCAGAGACAGGATACAACCAGAATTTTCACAGTACTCACTAGCCTATAACCATCAGGTATCATTCAGCATCTACAGCTGTCTTCTACAGTAATAGTTGAAATTGCTGTGCAACCGAAAATAGCCCTGTTCTCTTAGTTACAAACCTTGCATTTAGGCGTGCGTTTGTTGACATGCAGATTTATGACGTCATGCAGTGGGCGTTTTTGGCTCGTTTCGGATCATGGTATGTGGGAACCTCGTAATTTCTTACAATTTCTCAAGGTGCATAGGAGATTTAATCAATTTAGTGGTTGCAGTTAGTCATGGATATGTCTCAGTAAGTACTAACAATAGATATTTCACATGCATTCACCCATTTTTCACACAGGCGGTCGATAATTGTGAAAAATAGAAAAACGCTGATTTCTCCGTTCTGATTTCTGACATAGTAGCCGATGTATAAATGGATATTTGTCTGTGATTACAACTCAGAATAATTTAATTTTACACTTGTTTTAATGGCAACATATTGCTGTAAAAAAAGGTGTCAGGGATTGTTATTAAGTGCCGTATTTTATGAGTTATGTCTGTTTATTCGCTAAAATTTTAAATTCAAACGTGAGACTTGAATTTTAGGCAGTTTTTTTCATTTTTCTCGGTAAATATAAAACTTAAAGAAAAATCCTGACACCCTTTTTTGGTACATATTGTGCTTACCATGTGGCGAAAATTTTGTATCTTCACTCTTTCTGGTAATTGAGAAATATCCAAAATAGAATTTTTACATAAAAATTCAAAATTTGTGTGGTAACATTAGGTGCTGGAAATTTCATGATTTTTTTGGCTTGAGCATAGAGTCTTTAGAGGTATATCTCCTCTATAAATAAAACAAGTGATTGATTCGATTCATTCATCAATAAACGTTTAATATGCATTCGAGCAATACCCGTGCAAAAGGTGGAAAGTATCCTTATATATCCTTATAAATATAAGTTATATTAACTGAACTTCGACACAATGGCAGACATTGTGCTATCTCTGGCATCAACACCTTGAACACGCTTTCCTCGGTTCCGATATTTGATGTTTTCTTGAGAACACGTTTACTCTACACTCTCTATACTAGTTTACTATACTCAGTACTCATACTGACCGCACTCTAATCGTATTACTATTGCCCGTATTGGTATTACTTGAACTCAGTGATAGTTACAAATATATGACTTACTCGATAGCCTTCTTAATGAAGGAATGTGTTGGCTTTAACATCTTCGCCATCACGGTTGTTGCGTTTGAAGCATCACTACATAAAAATTGTAAATATAAGCACTCTCAACTCGCAAACAAGAATTTCGCGCGACAAGTGAGCAAGCTTGGGTAGTGGCGCCCTCGTTGGGGCGCTAGCATAGAAAATAATGGTCTACCTAGCTAGTACTCCTTGGCTAGTAACAGTATATTATTTCTATGGCCGAATGGGCGTTAGCCTAGGGAGCAGAACATTGTATATCATATGATATACGTGCTCTGTACATATATAATAAGGAAACTGCTATATATATATACATGTAGTCTCTACTTCTGCCTCACTCTAGTCTCTAGACTACATGATCAGTACCAAACTCCACGACAGATGGCGCTCTCGCTCTGGCTCAATTCTACTATTATCCTGAGTGTGGAAGGGGCACTGCATGCAGTTTGGATCAGTACATGTCATATCGGTCGTAAAAGTGATTTTCCTGGATCGATTTAAGCGCCATTGTTGTAGTTAGTAGCCTAAATATAGTTATCATGCAGATGGGTTCCAGTTCATAATATCCGCGCCACTCCGCAAGCGTCTGCTTCGTTTCCCACGATCTATGCCATGATTAATGAACGAGACGGAACCAATCTAGCCGTCATAACAACTTGCAGCGACCTCTTTTTGTAAAAATTGTTGGCTACCGTTTGTCCGTGAATAAACAGAGAGACAGGTCTACTCCCGTAACGCGATCAGTTAGCACTTTAGCTTGTCGAATATGGCGTTTCGGAGGATTCCATGTTGTATTAGCAGGAATGCAACACTAACACGTGAGCGAATTTACTGTAAAAATGCCGCACGAACATACTACACCTACTCTCCAGAGCCGTTCCACCCACTTCCAAACCGAGCGCCTGTTTGGAGAACAGCTGATGAAGCGGTCACTGTTATCAAATCACGTAAGTTGGACAGTTAGTTTTAGTTTTTCACTCTCAGTCTCAGTATGGCATGAAACGCTGCACAACACGTTTGCAAGGTTTCAGTCTCAAGAAATCTGTGTTCGAAGGAAATGAAACCCAACAAACCCGCCCCTAAAAACGCCCCTAAAAACTGCCTACAGGGCTATGAGAGAGGATATATATAACCAAGAGTAGATAAATAACAGACAACATGTTATTTATCTACTCTTGATATAACTTATAAGACCGAATAACTGAAATCCACTGAAATTTAGGGTTTCTTGTCTGCATTTGCATCTTGGTCACAATCTATCAATTAACTAGCTGTATATTTAGGAAGTTCATGTCGGCGCAAATTCACTTTAGGCATGCACCTTAGCTTAAGTATATCACGAAGTGATGCACAGATTTCTGTTTATCATCAACTGATGCACAGACTTTCTGTATATCAAGGAATGATGCAAAAACCTTAACCCGAACCCTAAGTCATAAAGTATAACCTTGGGTATCACAAAGTGTGTTAGGGTTAGGGTTATGGTTAGGGTTAGGGTTTTTGCATCATTCCTTGATATACGGAAAGTCTGTGCATCAGTTGATGATACACAGAAATCTGTGTATCACTTCGTGATACCTAAGGTGCCTAAAGTGGATTTGAACCCAGATGAGACGGGATACCAGAGAAGTGTTGCTGAAAGGAGATGTTGATCCTAACCGCTGAGCGCGGATCTTGCGCGCAGTTTCGCGGCAAGGCGCACGCGACCGACGGGAACGTCCTACGACAGTATGCAGTGCTGCAGCTATGGATCCGTGCGCGAATCCATAGTCCGGCGCACGGATCCATAGCTGCCAGCAAACAGTCCGGAATTTTAGGGGGGGACACAGAAGGCAGACATTTGGGACGTGGGAGGAGACTCGGAACTTTAAGATGCGGGGGTCTATCTCTTT